AGATTCCATTCTTATTCTTAGGGCCCCAGAATGAGATGACACATGGGATTCTGAGCAAAGCCTGCTCTGCCCTGCTGTGCCTGCACAGTCTGGCTCTAACTCACCTCCCAGAGAAAAGTAGGTAGTTCTTCAAACAAATGATCGGTTTCAAGCAAACCTCAGAATTTATTAACAAAGCCTGAAAGCAACACTTGAGCTCTTTAATGAGTCTTTCAGTGAGTCAGGAAGTTTTAGTCTGTAAGGTGAATATCTAAGGAAAATACACAATTGGAAGAGGTTCATTAGCAGAACACAGAGCCCCAGGAAAACCGGGTGTATGCTTAAATAATAACCTTCAATCAAAACACAGCTGACCTGATACAAAAGCTTAAGTGCTTCTGCTCATGGACACAACATCTTTTAAAACTAACTCATGTGCAGGAACAGTTCTTTCTGAAGAGCACTGCTGCACTCCAGCAACCACAGCAGAGGCAAAATCCCCAGGAAAGTTGCAATTTTGCTGCCACACTCACCACCAGGAGCCAAATTCCCAAAACTAAGCAGGAAACACCCGGTTCTTATCTCTCTCGAGGTGCACAAATAAGGAGTTCACACATAGGATGAAGAAATATGTTGTTAATAACTTATATTACGGCTAAAGACCTATAACCACGGCAACCAGCCTCATTCAAAATAACAGGAACACTTCCAGGTTTTTCTGCCTACTCTGTACTGAAAATGTTTAAGCCACTACAGGTAAGATTTCTCTCAGTACAAGGCATCTTTTTCAAAAAAAAGAAGGGACAGTGAATCTATACACCACCATATGCCAAGAGAAAACACCAGATTCAGACTGTTTATATCCTGTGCAACTGCTCATGCAACAACCACAGCTTCCCACAGCACACCAGGCAGCCATGGGAGTGGCTCAGGTCATCCCTGGAGTAATTAACAAGACAGGTCAGCAGTACTGGAGCTAATTACCACATTTGAGATGTCAACATCAGCAGTCCACTCAAAGGAGTGACAGCATTTGCCTTGCACAAATAACCACCAGCTGCTGGCAGACTCTGGAGGTGAAACACACCTCTGAAAGATTTTCTTTAAAGTCATCGTGGTTCAGCACTACAAAGATTTCATTAAAGCTCAAAGAAACTGAAATATTCTGTCTCTCATAAAATTTGGGCACTTATTGCTCAATGTCCTAGTTAGAACAGCTGGGACCAGTTCATCACTGCGTGGGTATAACCCAAAACTGTGTATTCTAGAGCCTTCCATGCCATTGCCCAGAAACTGTTACCAACAGACCATTTACGCCCTCTGCTCAGAGCAGCCCTGACCCCTCAGGCTGTAAACTGGGTGTTCAGAGGCCTGTGAGACAGGAGGGTGCTCCTGTCCTCACACCCACTGTGGAACTCCCCACCCTGAGGGAGGGACTGGGCATTCCTGCCTGAACTGGAGGAGAGATAATCTTGGGGTCTTGGGACTTTTTTAACCACTCGTGGGATCCAGAGGAAGACTGCAGAGCACCACTCTCGACCAGACTGAGACCACCACTCTCAACCAGACTGCAATCACCACCCTTGCCCAGACTGCACCAGCACTCTCACTAACAGGTTTTTCCCTCTCCTTTTACTTTGGACTCAGGGGGGCCCAACGAACACCACTCTGTTCATGCCCCAGGGTGCTGGGTTATACATTTGGGTTTTGTGGGTTAAAACCAACTGTTTGTCTGTATAATTGTATTTATTGTATTATTTTATTAAATAGTTATTCTGATTTATAATCCCTCCTTTGAGTTGGGTTCATTTCCCCTGCTGGTTTACCTTTAAACCAGCACACTCAAACAGGCCAGCCCTCAGCACAGCAACAAATCCCACCTTTGCCTACGTGATCCTGGAGGAGTAACAGTGTTCTGCCAAAAAAAGGAGGATTGGTTTTTAAGGGCTCTAAGCAGCACCCCCAGGTACTTCAAGGCCAGGGTGCAGCTGGCAGGGCTGGGGCTGAGGTACCTCTTGAGGTGCGAGCGGTCCCCGCTGTCAGAGCTGGCCACGGACGACGTGTCGTAGGAGTGAGCGTCCGTGTTATCCACGTTCAGCAGAAAGGGATCCTCCAAAATGAAAGACTCCTCTTCATCATCAGTCTGAGGGGACAGAATCACCACAGCTTGCTGAGTGTTCAAAACACACACAGCACCACGACTGAAACGTCGGCAAAACAGCACAAATTCAGAAAAAAAAAAAAATGAAGGAAAGGACAAGACAGTCTCATACCTAAAAACAAGAATTCTTTACTACTTTACTGGACTGATTCTGTGGAAGAACCAGTTTCCAGAGTTCGCAATAATCACAGGAGTGGGCTGGAGAGAAAATCGTTCAACTAAATCTTCCCTCCCCAGATATTATCTACTCCATCAAAACTTAAACTGACCTTTAACTGAGCTGTTCCCAAGTCTCCCAATAGCCAAGAGAAGGCCTAGAATTATCATCATCTACTCCAGCACTTCACCAAGTGGCACTAAGAGCCCAGCAGTCCCTTCAGCTGCTTTGAGAGTTGATTTTGCTCTGCTCTGAGCTCTTCTGCTGGCAATATCTTTCTCCTTTCAGTCTTAGCCCGGAATTTTTTATTACAGTATTTTTCAAACAGCTGCTTTTCCTGATGTCTTCTAAATTTGGTGCAGTTCATGTTCTCCTCTCACAGAGCCAGAGAGAGCAAACACAACAGCCTAGCTGATGCCAAAGGAGCAGAGAGCAGAGCAGGTGCCCCTCATTTCTTACAGCCCTGTGCCCGTTGAACATCCCCTCTTCCACTGCAGTTCTGCCTTTTTGGCTCAGACAGGTTGTTCTCCACTAAAATCCTTCTCAAAAGGTGCTTTACCAGTCGTTTCCATCCCCTGTGTAACTGAGATCAATAGCACCAGAGTAAGACTTTGTGTTTGTTTGCACTGAACTATACTTTTCTCATGATTACCTCTCAGGGTTTAAGACTTGCATTCTACTCCTCTGACATGGCTGTCACTGCATCTCCTTTGGTATCACCCAAATTTACTCAGTTCCCTCCACCTCCATCACCCAAGGCACCAGCAGAAACAGGACACACCTCTGTACATCACCCTTACTACTCCTCTCATTCTGAGTCTGGATCTGTTTGGGGCACCTTACACCTGTATTTTTAATGCAGCTTTTCAAAAGAACTATGAGCCCTCCCAGGCTCCTTCTCCCTTTAGGGGAAAAGGAAATCCAGCCACCAGTTTCCTCATTTTGTTAAAAAGCTTGTTTTCTTTGAGTTAATCTTTACTTCCACACCATTCTTTTCCTTTTGAGGGCTCATACTGTCCCACAGCTACTGTAAAAAATACACTGAGTTTGATACAAGTGAGACAAAGTCAGTTCTCCCCTGCAAGGTACTACAAGTCACATCAGATGCTGAGACAGTTCATTGCTCCTGCCAGAGGACTAAATATCTAGTTCTCACCTCCTCTCACAACTTAAGAACTACCCAGAAACTCTGCAATTACTTTTAGCTAAAAACAGCTGTTTGATGCCCCAACCTTTAACAGACTGGATAGGCTTCAGGTGACTGTCCAGATCCACAGGTGAACGTACTGGAATGGAAACCTTTTATGTGTTGCAGCTGTGGATACTTTAATTGCAAAAAAAAACAACCAAAATTCTATGTCACACACTATAAAGCAGTTACTCAACTGAGCATACACTTCACCAGCTATCACTACCAGGACATCATGAAGTTATACAGTTTTATTTCCCTGGAAAAACACAGGAGGAAAGGAGCCAGAGGAGCCTGTGCTGCCTGCCCTTCCCTGCCCACAGACGCTCACCTCGTTCAGGATGCTCTCCAGCGTGGGGGGGGTATCAACCTGAGGGATGTCGAATTCTTTGTCATCAATCTGTACAGCAGAAACCACAGACTGAGTTTAGATTGCCTGCTCCACCTTCCAGACTTTATTTTAACTAAACAATATTCAAAAGCAGCCACACACAGACACTCCTGCCAACACTCCCCTGCCCGGAGAAAGCTGAGGGCTCACAGTTTCACCCGGCTGGATGAGGGTATTTCCTCCTTGGAGCCGTGTGAGACTCACTGCCAGGAGCAGTTATAGAGTACTTTTGATGTTCTGAGAATAAAGACGCTATTGCACTATCAGGTGCTTTGCAGCAAGAGAGAGGTTAAATGACTGACGATGCACCTGCTACACCAGGCACCCACCACGTACAACCGGGGGGTTTGCTGTTTGTTTAGATGAGGCGAAGAATGTGAACTTGATGTGACTGGGACAGAGCCCATGGCAGGTGCTGGAACCGGCACAGAGCAGCCTGGGCCCACCCGCCTGCCGACCCCCCCTCGGGGCTGTGTGAGGGACCCCCGACCCCCCCTCGGGGCTGTGTGAGGGACCCCCGACCCCCCCTCGGGGCTGTGTGAGGGGACTGGACCTGACCCGACCCTCCCTCGGGGCTGTGTGAGGGACCCCCCGACCCTCCCTCACACCCGTCTGAGGGACCCCCTCGCCGACCCTCCATCCCGGCTGTGCGAGGGGACCGGACCGGACCCCTCTCTCCCGGCTGTGTGAGGGGACCGGACCGGACGCTCCCTCCCTGAGCGGCCCCGGGGCCCCGCGGGAGCGCCCGGGCCGGAGCAGCCCCCGCGGCCCGGCCGTGCCGCCTGAGCGGCGGTTCGCGCCTCACCAGCTCGCTGCGGGAGTCCAGCTCACGGTCGAGCTCGGCCACGCTGAGCCGGTGCACGGGTGGCTCCGTGGGCGGCTCGGGCTCCGCTCCGTCCGGGGCCGCGGCCATGGCCGGGCCGGCACCGCCGGGACTCGAACCCGGGGCCGCAGCGTCCGCCCCGCGCAGGCGCAGCCCCGAGGGGCCGCCCCCGGGCCCGCCTTAAAGGGGCCGCGCGGCACCGGGGACGGGGGGACACGGGGGGGACAGAGGGACACAGGGACACCGCGACACGGGGGGACAGAGGGACGCCGAGAGACACAGGGACACCGAGCCAGCGGTGCTGCCCACTAATCCTTTTATTTATCGGCAAACCCCGCATCTCTTCCACGCTGCCGGCCGTGATCCCCCGGGCCCGGGGGGTCCGTCAGTCTCCGAGAGAAGGAAAGGGACAAAGTCAGTGATGAGCAAAGAAAAGAGGCCCAGCCCGGCACCCACCGGCACCCACCGGCCTCAGCCAGAGCCGGGCGGGTTCTGCCGCGATTCCCGGGGTTTGCTGTGCACTGCCCCAGGCTGCAAACATGTCCCAGCAAAGCCTTGAAAAAATGTCCCTTTTGGGACCAGAGACAAAGCCTTTGGGAAGAGGTGGCTAATTTAAACAAGGCAGGAACTGGTGTAACCAGATTTGGTGCCCAAGTGTTTGTGTTTTCTTTCAAAAACCACCGGGGGGGCGGGGGGTTTAGCAACAGTGGCAGCTATTTCAGTGTTTGTGTTGGAGACAGAACGAAGCCAAAGAGCCCTCGCCAGGCCAGAAGATGAGGGGGGTCAAATAAAACACACACTGTAAGGATAAGTACTGAGTTTCGGGATATCAGACACCCAGGCTGCCCTGGTGTCTCACCCGGGTTCCAAGGGGACACTCCCCTGTGCTGATGTCCCAGGGATGGGCAGAGCTGGGCCGTGCCCAGGGACAGGGATCCTCCCTCTGGTGTCCCAGCAGAGCTGAACCCTGGCTGAAGGTTCCAGCTTTAGCAGAGGCACTTACCAAAGGCACAGAGAGCATCCTGCACTGTCCCTGCCTTACCTGTTCGGCCTTCCCGCCGTTCTCCCTGCAGAGCAGCTCTGCTTCCCTCCTCCTTGGCTCTGTCTCGCATCTGCAAGAGCGGGTGGATGAGCAAGGAAGATCCCGAGTGTCCTCCTGCCCCCCTGCCAGGCAGGGCCCCCCTTCCCACCTCCACCCGAGCAGGGAGCAGCCTCTGCTGCCCTCGGGGCCGGGCTCAGCTCAGCAGTGAGGGCAGAGGCTCTGCGTGTCCAGGGTCCCCTGCTGAGCTCTCCATCAGCTCACCAGGAAAGCCTTCCCAGGAACAGGCCAGCCATCGTCACCAGAGGGAGCCTGCAGGCTTTGGGACGCCTTCAGACCAGCAGGTCACACACAGGTAAGGCAGTTCGGTTCCTCAGAACCAGAGCAGTTTGCAGCACACACAAAAAGCCAGCTCCTGTGGCAGTGGCTCAGCACATCGGCTGGGCTGGGGAGGGGATTTTTGCAAGGAAGGAACTCTGCTTTAAAGCTGTGCTGGCCCTGGGGAGCTGAACATCTCCTCTGATGTGCATATCTACAGCTATTTAAGGTTTTAGTGACTCATTACCAGCACTTGCTCTGCTCCATGTTTTCTTTCCCCTGCCAGCTGTTCCAGGATGGTTTTCTGCAGCAGTGGTGCATTCACTCCTCTTACAACAGCCACTAGTTCTCCCTCCTGGAAGGTGTGGAAAGCAAATCAGTCAGTCAGTGCTCAGATTGTGCTCTCTGGGCTCTGGAAATCCCCACAGCAGCACATCACCCACAACATCATGTACCAGGCCCTCCTCCCTGACAGAGCTGCTCTGCTCCACAAGAGGGAAGCTTTGGAACAACCTTCTCTGTGGTTCCTCATCAGTCTTAGGATGAAGCAAAGAAGCTTGTGAGAGGAGTGAGGTCCTGCACAGGCAGGAGGCTGAACCTGATGACCCCACAGGGCAACTCACTGACTCTATTTTAATCCCCACAGCATTTGATCACCAGCAGATACAAAGCAAATAAAATTTGCTCATCACACATTAAAGAAATAGAATATCCCTCCAAAAGGCCAGTTGTTCCCACCAGCAGGTCATGTTTGTTGCTGTTCATCTACTGGGAAAACGTTTTCACTCACGGAATAAAACAGAAAGACAGGCTGGCATTGTCCTCTGTATCCTTCCAGAGCATCAATGGAATCAACTTCAGCCTGAAAGGAAAGGGAAATAGAGCAGGTGTTTCCAGGAAAGCATTTCTGCTCCACAGGGAAGCACTGCCTGGACTCAGCCCCCCTCAGCTGGCTGGTCCCCACCCCCCACACACGGGGAAACAATTCCAGGGCCCGGTTTGGGGGGACAAAGTGACACTGGTCAGAGCCAGGGCCACAACCCAGTCCCAGCTCAGCAGCAGTGACCTGAGAAGCAGGCAGATCTCACCTGCAGGAGCTGGAACAGCAGCTCTGCTGGGACAGGGATGTCTATTCCCAGCAGGTCCCTGGGTGAACCCCACAGAAAAAGGCTGGAAAATGAAATGGGGGCCTCTTGTCCATGAGCAGAGAAGTGGCAGGAGGAGCTGTGGTGGCAGCAGCACGAGTGCTGAGCTGTGAGAAACCTCCCTGCCCTTGGCTCTCTCCACGATCCAGAGCTGCCTTCAGCCAGGAAAGGCACTTACACACGGAATCCCAGCGGGACTGAGGTCAGGAGGGACCTCTGAAGGGCTCTGGTCCCAGCCTGCCCAAAGCAGGGCTGGTCTCAGTGGTACAGGAGGGGGTTCAAGGCTGTGTTAGTTTTGAGCATCTCCCAGAATCAGCTCTGCATCTCTGGGAACTTGTCCCAGTCCTACCACTCCTACACTGAGTACTTTTTCCTTCTCTTTACTTGGATCTCTACCTGCTGCAACTTATCCCATTTTCTCTTGTCCTGTTGCTGTGTTCCACTGAGAGATGTCTGTCTCAATCCCCCACTAGACACCTGTCCCTTTTCCTCTCCAGGTGACCAAACCCAGCTCCTTCAGCCTCCCCCTGCACATCAGAGGGACTCTGTGTTAATGACTCTGTCCAGTGTTATTTGCTTAAGAAGAAATCTGGGAAGTACAGACCCATTAAAGCCTGAAAATTCTTCATTATATGAATTCTTACAGATGTACCCAAGCACCTGTATTTGGCAGGTTCCCTCCCAGCAGCTGCAACTCCTGCACTGTTATCCTTTGGGCTGAATATTGGAAAGATAAAGTCACTTCAGCCCTCAGGCCCCTGCCAGTTGCAGAGGACTGGGTATTGCAGGCACTGTCAAATGAGATCTTACCACAGCAAAATGCAGGAGATTACTGCCAACTTCATTCCTGATTTTTTGGAAGAGATCCACCACTGTTTTACACGGGCCACACCAGGCTTGAAATGCATCAACAACTGTGAGCAGGAAAATGAGTGAGAACGAGGTGAAAATGGGTCAGTTCAGACACAGACCAATAGACCAAACACTAGAAGGGCTGGATTCAACTCTGAGGTGGAAACTGTCCTACCCTTGGAAGGTTTGAGATGCTGGATCAGAGGATGAGATCACATTGTAAAATATCGAGCTAATAATTATGTGGAGGAGCCTTCAAAAGAAACGTGGGCATGGCTGTGCCCTTTGAGGGACCAGCTTTTCTGGGGAGAACTGCAGAGGGAGAGCACATGGGACTTGCAGCACCCTTGGGAGCCAGGGCTGTTCCTTTGCTGGGCACAGTCCTGCTCCAAGCGGTGGCTGGACTGGACACTCCAGAAGCTTCTGGACCAGCACTGCTTGGATGGCATGACAACTGTCCCACATGAACAGGACTGCAACCTCCAGCTTCTCTCACCTCTGCCAGAATATTTCTTCCTTCCATTCAGGGAAAGAGGAATGGAGGGACTGACTAAACATCCTTAACATTAATAATTCCTAACAGTCCTGGCGTCCTCTAAACACAGAACAAGAGCAGCCCAGTGTGCTGACCAAACCTTACCAATGAGTCCTTTGAGACACAGCATTTCTTCCCAAAGCTCCTGGCTAGTGATGTTAATCTGTGTGAAAATGTAAAAACACAGTAAAAGCAACAGTAAGTCCAAAGGTACCACCCAGTTGCTGCAAACATCTGGACAAACTGCTTAAGAGGGACACATCTGCCTGAAGAGGAGTTACCTGAGCACTCAGGAAACTCTCCTGACTGATCCTCTCACCTCTGACCAGCTGGGCACGATGTCTCACAACATCCAGGGAAAGGCAGATGGAAAGGCAGCAGCACCCAGCCAAGAGAAAGCCCTCCCTCATTTAGGGGCACTACTGGAACAGTGGCTGCCAGGGGGGCCCAGACTCGGTGTGCAGAGAAGCCAAGAGTTGTTCTGAGGGTTGACTGCCCAAACTGGGAGCCCAGACCCACAGCCAGGGCCTGTCTGACTGCCCAGAGCTCCAGCTGGACCCCCCAGACCCCATCACCCACAGAGCAGGGGGAAGGGCTGTGAGACACCCATCACAACCTCAGGTTCTTCCTGGCACTCTCCCCCTTTTCTGGCAACACAACTCCTCGTGGGGCCACGCAGCAAGATCTGAGAGCAGGACCCAGCTGAGCAGGGCCCTGCCATGGGAGCCCAGAGCAGGAGGGTGGGCTGGGCTGTCCCACAGCACTGGGTGCTGCTCCACAGCCTCCCTGCCCCACACCCAGCTCAGCCCAGTCCTCACAGGGACTCACAAGGTGGGTGATTCTCCAGCAGCAGCTTCTCCCCTGGCCTGCACATGAGCTGTGCTACTTTTAGAGGTTTCAGTCTTGCTCAAATAAAGCAGTAAATACACAGCTCCTGTGA